ACTTGGGTTTTCTGCACCAAAATGCCAATGTTGGGACAGCGTCAGGGAAAAACGGCAGTACCTCAGACCATTGCAGGACGATAGTGCGACGAACGACGACGAATCCCCAGCCACTGTACCCTGATAATAACAGTTCTCGATACGTTGTTGAAATCCATGCTCTCCACTTGAATCAAGCTGAAATTAATTCTAACGAAAATAGAGGCCTTCTAACTGCTAATCACAGAGTTCACAGCTCAAAGAGCTCATGTCATGGAAAAGACACAAGGAGATATTAATGAAGCCTTCTTCTTCGGGTTCGCAACGCGCTATTCGAAGCAATTCCCTTTCCAACTCATATACCTCTCGGTCCTTATACAAGACGATGGTCGTGGAAGCCCTCCTTTATCCTCTCGTGATTCCCACAAGATGATGTGGCAAGAGTTGAATGACTCGCTTCGAGACTGCTTCCTTTAAAAAGCGAACGTAGTGGGTGGGGGGGGGGGGGAGGAGGAGAGGGCGTATACGGCAGCGCGACTATGCCGCGTCTCATCTTGTCTTTTCAAGTTTCTTCAAAACTTCAAAAAGGGTATAGGCTTCACTTCCTTATTCAGGGAGTGGGTGCATACAAACATACACTCGAAGTCCCTGAGATGCGATAGGCGTGGCGGCGTCCGAGGTTTCGGTAAAATATTTTCATTTAATCATGTCTTTGTTCAGTGCAGAACAAGATGACAGTTGTCTCTAATTGAAAGAACCCACGAGTAATCCATCCTATGCCGATGTTGAGATGCCACGCCCACTCCGTCTGAGGGAGGGAGTGTATATTACGTGGCATAGTTCTAATGCAGTGTGACCCCCCCCCCTTCAACTACAACAGCCCTTTTTTGTGCGCATCGCTATACTGAAACCTTGTGGAAATGAAGAAACCTGTCAGACACTTGCTGGAAAGTAGTTGGTCAAATTTCAGGTGAGGAGTTTCCGGCGCTGTTTAGTTTGAGGGAGGGGCATTTTGTACTTTCGCTAGTTTCTGTCGCTAGTTTCCGTACTGAATTACATGTCTCACATTGGCTGGACCTGTAGCTCATGTCAAGTGTAAAACGATACCCCGCTATTGCATAAATTTCCCAGGAATTTAGAGTGATCCACAGGAAGCAACGGCAGTATTCTGCAGGAGCCAGCACAATGTCCCCACCAGCCAAACTGCACCAACTTCCCTCAGATTCCACGATATACGGGTGGCAAAAGAAGGGGTGGAGACTCTCAATCATCGCGAGATTTTCTTCGGTGCGCCTCACTCGAATATGATGAAGAATAGGGTGACGCTAATAGGAGAGGTACAATGATTGCGACTCCGCCCACTCGATCTTTTTAAACTGTGTTTTCAAGTCAGAGAGGGCTTCCTCGAATTTCAATTATATTTTAACCCCAAAACAGTATAAAAAATCCTAGCTAGAGAAAATGAAGAAATAGAAACAAAGAAATTTTATCTCATACAAAAAATAAGATTATTTCTGATTATCACTAACCTTTCGAAAACTGGTCCGATTCAGAAATATAAAATTATTCCGTTCCAATACTAATTTTATCCTACCAACAGCATTACTTCTTATCACAATCGTCACATGTTGATAATGTTCGGCAGCTTTTAAAAAGTAATTTCGCGTATCTGGAATTATAAGGGAATCAAAATGCGAAATAGTAGAAGAGCATGAACAAAGAGAATAACAGGCAAAAAAAGCAGTGAAAATAATAAAAAAATAGCAAGAATGAGGATAAAAATCCGTACCAATCCCTATTCGTTCATTTTTATCGCGAATTTGAAATGGATGAACCACTTCGTAATCGCCATCAGGAATGCTGGCAATAAATGCTTTGTTCGTTGACGACTGACGGAAATCCACTGAAAATACCTCGTTTCAGTAATGACAACGGCTAGGAGCAGAGAGCCAGAGCTCCTCTTGCTTTCTAAGGAAAAACAATCCAGGGATCAATACAAAAAAAAATCAGTAAAAATTCAAAAATAGAAATGAACCAAATTATTAATTTAAAGAACATATTGAATATTATTCATCAACAGGGAGATCCATCAAAATTTGCTAAAACTAAATTCAACTGATCTAAATTACTGTTCAAAGTGATCAGCTAAAAATATAAACAAATTTATAAAAAAATAAATTTGTACTCTGGGCCAGACACGAGCATCCCTTCTTTCGAAAAAGCTTTGTATTTTACCTGATTTAAGGGAGCCGGCCAGTTTCGTTTTCCAGCAACTGTTGTCGCTTGGCCTCTCCAAGAATTGGGAGCGCCCGCGTTGTCATGGACAGAAATGTAAAAACAAAATGAAAGACGCGTTGGCGGTCCACTCAGCCCCCCCCCCTGCACTATTTCTTCAGCCGAAATTCCTCTGGAGACTTTTGGAAGCAGATACTACCACTGATGCTCATGATTGTTGTTTAAAAGTCCATGGGCCTATCGAAATCCATCAGATAAGCAACATGACTCATATGTATTTATAGAATCGCTCTAAGCCTCCGCTACTAGGGGGGGGGTGACTTGAGAGTGACAGACTAATCTGGGGATCAATAGGAATGGAAGGCAATCCGACTTCAACCTAAGTAAAAACATAGGGCAAAAGAGAATTCTAGTACAAAGCAGGAATTCCCCAGAAAAACTGATGAAATGCAACGACTACTCGATTCGAGGCACAGTTTTCTACCTATTCTTTTTCCTCTCACTACGAAGTCTTTTTTTTCCTAGGGCAATTACCCTCATTTCTGGAATGACCTGATGAATGGGAAATGGGACTTTTTCTGAAGTTCTGCAGTGCGAAGGACGAGGTAATGGCGATCGAAATTGTTGCTATAAAACCACAAATTTTATATGAGGTGTACGCAACCCGGTCGCTTTTGCTGGATGTGATTTATCGGGGTAAAGGAACGGACAGCATCCTTCCGCTACAGGTCCCAGTGTCGATCCAAAAAGAGATTAACCTAGTTAAGAACACATGTCGGATATCGAGAAGTGGCTCTAAATGTGTCACAACCCATCGAAGACAGTGCATATCATCGCCGTTAACCCTTAACGAGGGTCACGAAGGAGGAAACCGCATCCGGTTCTGAGAGAGAGGTCTGCGAACTGCAGATCTTCGTTCGATAGCTGATTGACGTGGTCCTTTGCCCCGTCCTCCTTCTGGCGGCAACTCTTCTAAGGGGATGTACGGGAGTTTTAGGATCCTTATTGTGCCCCCCTCCACTTTTACTTCATGAAATTTGAAGAAAGAGCGATGTAGTCTGCCAATCCTGATCTGATTTAGAAGGCAGAAGGTCGTTGCATTGCCAATTGAAGAGGGTGGGGGACGAGGCGGATTAAGTCACGTCCTAGAGTAATCCTTTTGGCAGTATGCTCTTCACTGATCACTCAAGATCTACTCACTTGAATCTTTTGTATCTTCAAATGGGAGTCAGATACATGGCGTATCTCGAGGGACTTACCAGTGCTAGGCCATTCTACCTTCCCAATCAGACCCGGCAGACATTCAACGTCTATTTGGCTCTCTCTTCAGTTTCCATGTTGCAGTAGCGGAGGGTTACTTTAGTTTCCAGTATAGCAAGATCCCAGAATTCCTATACTCCTACCTCCCCTTGAAAAACTGCCACTGAGAACTTCACTTACAAATTAGGTCATCACTTAAGAGTTCGTCGTTTCCCAGACAGACATGGCAGTTTTTCATTTACGGAGAACTCATTATAATATATTATGAGTTATGACCTTTTTACGTTGAACTAGAAACGCTGGCACTTTACAGCCATAAGCACTTAATTGCCTTCTGCAAGCAGCTGGCATCGAGGGGAAAAAACGCACTTTAAGGCGACCTGTTACCATCACATTTCAAGGGCTATCACGATGGGGACCACTGGTTCCAAGCCTCTGGAATGGAAAGAAACAACAATTATGCCACTGAAAAAGTTATTTTTAATCTTGGGAACGTCGCCTTCGCCTTATAAGACACCCGGAATACAGCCCTAAGTGGAATTGTTACACCAATGGCACATCCTGGTCATGAAATAAATTTGTAGCTAAGCCTATCATTCCTCTCTTGTCGCCAGTGGAAGACCCCTCCCTCAACCTGTCCGCCCCACTTCATTTACTCTTGACCCTACATTTCTGCTCTGTTGCCTGTCGTCATCCCCCCGTCGGCCTCCACACCCTTCATCACCTACTCCCACCTTTCCCTACCTACGATCTCCCAGAAAAAGCGGCCGATTGGGGAAATGGGTTTTCGGAAACCACCATGACAACCCCATCCCCACCAAAGCGATCCAACCCCGAGCCCCTCTCGTTGAGAGATCCACACGACGATCATAGGCGCTGGTAGCATCCAGGACGTGCGAAGGAAGCGCAAAAAAGTGCTGAAAAAGAGAGAAGTGGCGGCTGCCGCGGAAAAACTGGTTAGTTCATCAAGAAAAAAAAACGTAGAATAGACGTTAACGAAGACTCTGAACGAAAGTTATCTGGATAGAGTTGCAGGCGGCTTGGAAAGCCCTGGACTTGGAAACAAAATCAGCAAGCCGAGTTTAGTTCTGCAGATAGCTTGATCCTCCTTTGAAAACCATCTTCTCCGCGGTTCAGATAACCTCAGCGCGATGCCAAGGAGACTATCTTTCAGAAGCAGGACTGTTTCATACTTACCACCGCTCCCTCAAGCGTACCAGTTCTTACAAGTGTTAAAAATTCTCCAAATTTTCGAGTTTACTGTGAATATTACCAATTTCTACCACGTTCAATTAAGGAAATAGCTGCCCATTCATCACAAACGGATGGCAAATCACTCGAAAACCCGCCCTCACACCAGGACATCTCTTTCAGCTTCATGGTTTATCCGCTTCGGTTGATGAGAACGAGAGGGTCATATTTCTGCTCATTAGCAATCGTCCTGGGATTTTATGGGATACGACGATTCCGCACTTGCCCTCATTTTCCAGCACTTAATATTATAACTCAATCGGGCAGAGCATACCGTACGTAGGAGGATCCCGAGCGAGGGGGCATATTTGGTCGCTGGATTGCGGGGGGGGGGGGCTAGTTGGCTTTGAGAAAACGTTCCCTCCTGTTAACTTTTTTTTTCCATTTCCTGTTCCAAGCGCGCCATACTTCTCCTCACCCCTTCCCGCTCAACAGCAATCTTATGGGGAAAAGTTAGGGAATTTTTGAGAGAAAAAATCTTTTGGGAAGTGGTAGGAGGCTGTGAGAACTTAGTAAGATGGTATTTAATAAAGAGATCGGAAAGGGAGGGGAGTCGTACTAGAGTAGGAAAGTTGTTGGGAAGTGGTCCTAATGTAAAGTTGTTCCACGAATGCAGTTGAGTCCAACTACTGAATTTCATAACGTTGGCTTCTAAGGTCCTCAGTCCGGGGTAATATCTTCCCTTCGGCTCACAAGTTGGACTATTTGATGCAATGCATGCTTCTTTTAAAACTAGGTTTCATGGGGCTACAATTTGGGCATAGAAAGCTGCTGCAGAAGAGATGGCTTTTTTGTCTAGAGCCTGACAAGAAGCAAAATGGCAACCTTCACCGCTGTTTTAAACATTTTCAAGGCTGCGCATGCCATCGTTACGGAAATTAGTAGCCACCATGCCACCATTATCACATGGGCAACTTTTTGAAACAACTATACTCCTCGCAACCCGCCAGTTCTACCCATAAATTGCCAGTTTTGCCTGGAAACTACCAATTTTAGCGGCAGTGCTAGACTACCATACACGGCCAGAAGCATTACAGTCAGAGCGACCTGGATAAAGCACAGGTTCAGAGGCGTATTCCGTGAATATTTCAACATCAGCTGTAGTGAAAGGGATCTTATTCGGGATGTTTACAACTGCTCGCTCTGCTTTTTTGTTTCTAAGGAGCCAGTGAGCGTCTACAATATTAAATTGAACCCATGTACTGCAATCGCGGAATGAACCCTCAAAGCTCTATGGCAAAAAGAAGGCCTACTGGAGTAAGAAAAAGTGGAAAACACGAAAACAATAGGGTTAAAGCAAAAAGGGACTCCTTCCAACGCATAAGTAGTACCGGACCGAACAGAGACAAAAACCTATCTTCATGCTGGAAAACAAGTGGAAACAAAGGTAGAGAAGAATATCTCAAGGAGAATTACTCAAAAAACTACGCTGGCAACCAACCCTTCCCCCCCCAGCCTTCAAAGACAAGCCACGCATCCGAATTCCACCTAGAATCACAGGGGTATTTAAATGTAAAGGCTGTTCACGCGAAGAAAAATCAGGTTTTTATCAAACGGAACATGTCTTGCTTTTCGTATTCACAGAAAAAGAGGGTGCAAAAATTGTTTTGGTTGGAGTAGGCACTGCATCTGCATCGTCAATGTGTTACTTCGCTTCACCGAGACTTTTTACTAAGCCCTCTCTATGAGAGTAACCTCAACCGCTCTGGTCGTCTGCCTGTAAGCCTAAGTTCAGCTTAGAGGAAGCTATAATATAGTGGCGGAGCGTGAGTCGCAACCGACTACTCCCCCCCCCCTCACACTATATTAGCACCCTCAAAAGGCAATTTTGCAAAAAAAACAGCAACAAGACAAAATTCTCAACCATAAGCCGAAAGGAGAAAAAAGAAAAAAGAGTTATTCGAACAAAATAAACTTCTACCTCTTGCAGTTGAATATGTTACGTGAAGGAATACAACGAACAATAGGCAGTAACAGAATCTGGCAGTCATAATCGTAACCGTAGTAGCATCTAGAAAACACGAATCGGAGCTAATAACCTTGAGGAGGGGGGGGACACTTGAAGGACTCCTTCTGCAAACGGAGACTGGATTAACGTTATCCGAATAGAACTGTCGTACATGAGATCGGTTCACCCATCCCCGAGCTCTGGCTC